ATGTGATTGGTTGATTAGATAATTGCATTAATGAGAAATTGAACAGGTGTTCCTAATAATCCTTTAGGTGAGTGTATATATATATATATGCGCACACACACACACTATATTGCCAAAAGTATTGGGGCTCTGCAGACAGTTGGCGATTTCCGCACACTGTGCACCTCAGCATACATTGTCCCCACTCTGTGATTTTACCCGGCCTACCTACCACTCTGTGATTTTACCCGGCCTACCTACCACTCTGTGATTTTACCCGGCCTACCTACCACTCTGTGATTTTACCCGGCCTACCTACCACTTTGTGGTTGAGTTGCTCTTGTTCCCAAATGCTTCCACTTCGTTATAATACCACTGACAGTTGACTGTGGAATATTTAGTAGTAAGACAATTTCAAGAATGGACTTATTGCACAGGTGGCATCCTGCCACAGTGCCACGCTTGAATTCACTGAGCTCCTGAGAGTGACCCACTCCTTCACAAATGTTTGCAGAAGCAGCCTGCATGCCTAGGGGCTTGATTTTATACACCTGTGACTATGGAAGTGATTGGAACCTGAATTCAATGATTTGGAGGGGTGTCTCAATACTCTTGGCAATATTGTGTGTGTGTCAGTGTGTATATAGTGTATATTTGTCACTGATCTTAATGGACAGAAATGTTTCATATTTCCATTTTATTATTAAAAAAAGTATTAAAGCCCATATCTTCTCTCCCAAAGTAGATAATCTGAGATGGTTGTTTCGGTTTAAGGTTTAGGCATCACTAAGCAGATTCCAGGATTCATTGTGTTGTAGATTATTTTCTAGGGTGACCATGATTTTTGCTAAATTTGTCGTATTTGCTAGAAGTTTCACGTCACAAAACACTGATTTCCTTCTGTTTTCCTAGTAAAATGAAAGTCATCAAGGAGGGAAACACTGCAGCAGATTGGTTTATATGCAAAGTAAAGTTTAATGTAGACAGCAGAAAATAAAACATAAGAAACTCAAAAAATACCCAATCTGGACAGCTGTTATCAGGCCATCTAGAATTTTCTTTGCCAGAAGAAAAGGATACGACACCCAATCAATCAATAAACACTCTCCCCAGTGTGGTGGTTTGTTTAGCGTGTCCTGTGTCATGCCCTCTGACTCAGGTGTCACTAGTTGTCACCTGGACAGCTCAACAATATCTTTATATATATATATATATATATTCCTTCCACCACCACCCCTTTGCGGAGGACTGCTTTATTTCTATTTATTTATTTATTTATTTATTATTATTTTTTTATTTACTTCCTCAAGAGGAGAGGGAGAGAGAGGGGGGGGGGAAAGGGAGAAGACGGGAGATAGAGAGAGAGGGAGAGAGAGGAGGAAAAAAGAAGAAGAAAAAAAACAGATAATCTGCTTCCATTGTCTGCTGAATCAGCTCAACAATATCAGTATCAACAGAAAGGCCGTGTCAATAGATCATGCAGATTATTAACAAAGTTCAGGTCCAGAAAGTACAAATCCAGACCAAGATTTTGTTTCAACCAACCAGTTGAATATAAAGAGTCACAATCACAGAGTACTGAACAGGTTGCTGAAATAAAATCTTGGTCTGGATTTTGTTTGGTACTTTGTGGATCTGAACTTTCTACCTCTGTGCACAGATACTCCAAACCAAACTGTAAGGAACTGCTGGGGTTGGTTCCGTATTACCACCCCCCACCGGTGGCAGTTCCGCTGTCTACCCCCCCCCCCCTTTCCCCGTAGTGCCCTGTGTTACAACACTGTGAGCGATGACCATTCAAAATTTCTGTTATGTAATTGCAAAAACTTTTTTTTTTGCCACGATTGCTGTAGCTCTGTTTAATCGCCGTGACTGTTATATATATTTTTTTTTTATCCAAAAAATATATTAATAATAAAAGTAAGAAAAGAAGACATTTACTTTTCTTGTGTTATGTTTTCTGGTTTGTGTAATGCCCTGCAATCTGTGAAGTATATATATTCACACACACACACACACACACACACTATATGGACAAAAGTTTTGGGGCACCTGGCCATTACACCTACAGGAACTTTCATGACATCCCATTCTAATTCCATAGACATCAGTATAGAATTGGTCCCCCTTTTGCAGCTGTAACAGCTGCCACTCTTCTGGGAAGGCTTTCCACAAGGTTCTGGAGTGTGTCTGTGGGAATTGTGTGATGTCGGATGTGAAGGCCTGACTCACAATCTCTGTTCTAGTTCATCCCAAAGGTGTTCGATGGGGTTGAGGTCAGGACTCTGTGTGGGCCAGTCAAGCTCTTCCACACCAAACTAAAAAATAAGTCAGACGCACCCCAGCCATTCCATTTACTCCTTAAATTTCACCACCAGCTTAATTAATTAATTAGCTAAATAACTCAGTGAGGTATTGATTAGCCAAACACGTTGGGGTGGTGGTGGTCGAGCCAAAATGTATTCAGTGATATTGGACGGTGGATATTAGGAAAGCTAATACATTTTTTCAGGCATAACATTATAGTTTTACCAGCATGAAGATCATTTAAACAATTTTTTTCCTTTACTGCCTACGACTTCTGCACAGTGCTGTACACACACACACACACACACACACACAAACATAGTTTTATTCTTCATTGTTTTTCAGTGTCATTGTACTTTGTACTTCCTTACTGTACATTGAAATGTGGAAAATTATTATACATGATAACCAACATAATACAATATAATTTTTTATTAATGTAGTAGTAGTATCATTATTTAACGAAATAGGATATACTGGCTAACCGGAAAACAATTTGATAAATCATCACTTTCCACTGGAAATTACCGAGTAGGTCTATTTAAAACGAGTCCGACCAGATCATGTCAAGTGAGGTTCAAGCCCGGATCATCATGCAGAGTAAGTGCGACGTCAGTGCATCTCGTTTTCATCGATTGCGATTCGCCGAGTCCCTGCAGCGGAACTTAACTCCATTGCACTTCTCCTCATCGCAGGTCTCCCTTTCACTTTTGCACTGCTGCCTCTCGCAGTGCTGATTGCCCATGGAGCCCCCTGCGTCAGCCACCTGGAAGACGCCTCAGACACCTCTGGGGATGGCAGCCTCGACCCGACGTCTAGGAATCTGGAGCATCTTTCGGCAGTTCTCGTCTGCCTGATCGGCAGTCTCCGTGATGAGCACGTAAGACATTTTTATATACTTCACATCGTATAAACAATAAAGACGTCGTCCGTTGCAAGCTTTATTTAAAGATTTAAGCCCATTGACAGTGTATAATCCAAATATTCAGAACTCCAGAAATAGGCTACTGGTTGAATTAAATGATGTCATCTACTTTTTTCATCGGAATTTTAAAATAACGAAACAATCATATACATTTTTTATCATTTTTGCTCTTTTTAGTTTGCGAAAAATTGGCCGCAAGAAAGCATGTCGTCGTACAAGGACCACAAAATCACAATGCCTTACCTGAACGTGGAGGACGGCTGTTTTTCTCTTAAATTCAACAAAGTAAGAAACTTTAAGAAATTTTCCATAATTATCCTGCATCGCACTGAGGAACTCCATATGTAATTAAAAACAATTTCTGTTCACGTGTTTAAGTAGCCTATCTGCTGAAGCAGTTCATTGCAAAATGTGCCATGTGAGTAGGTCGTGACTGTAACTTCTTCAAACTTTAACTCGCTTTTTAAATCCCGCTTTCTGTAGAAAAGGTGTTTGAGTGGGATTGCGAGCAAACTGCAGCTGTACAGACCCTACCTGGATTTTGTGAAGATAGAGAATCCGGGATCCAGCAAGGTTGATGACGTTATCTCCAGGACAGACACCTTAACTCGCAGTATAAAAGATAAAGTGAGTCCGGGAGCATCTTTTCAAAATGATATAACCACTTAATAATATAGATGATATAGCCTAATTTAAAAATTCGATTATATAGCCTACATTACTGATTAGGGATTTGTAGCTAGTTAATTGTTGTTTTGAAACTAAAGACGTCGTCATTATTTCAGAGGCATCCAAACTGAATAATTCGAGATGACTTTAATCCGGATGCATGTATATTTACAGTTGCCCATTCACCGATCACGTTCTTTTTTTAATTTCCCGAAGCTGCCGAAGGTGGAGGAGTCGGACTCGAGCTCGCAGGGCGCGCTCCCGACGCTGCCCTCCGACAAGACCGAGTGGGAGCGAAAGATCACGGTGCACGTGATTCTCAGGGAGCTCGGCGTCTTCATGGCGGAGACGCACAGGGCCGTCCGCTTCATCAATCGGCGCCCGTGAAGAAGACTCCGGGCTCAGACATACCGCGGACAGAAGGACCGAACTACTCTCTAAAATAACATAGTGATTTGCAGCACGAGGCACAGAGTAGTCATTGAATCGCGGGGTATGTGCATACGAATAACTGCTGGAAAAAGCAGTGACAGAGTTTTTCAAAGCTAACTGACGAAGTTAACAAGGGACTTGAATTTTTTTTAATTATTTATTCATTACGAGCGATGCGGTGCGATGAAACGGTCTGACAGGTGCGTGTGTGCTCGGGTAGATCGACGGCAGGGGACGGGTCGTGGAGACCCTCCTCTCCTGCTCACTGTGACACCTATATGTACAAAAACTGTTGGAAAGGTCAGTTGATTTTTGTAATCAATAATTTATTTTTATACATGGATGCATTTATATATTTATGTATTTATTTAAATTATTTTTTTTTAAGTACAGTCGGCTGTATAAAATTGATAAAAACTTGAAAAAATGTATCGGTGGGTAATAAGCTAATGTGACTTTGTGAGCACAGGACGGGCATCTTGATCTGTGGCCTGTAGATGTTGTCCTTCTCTGTACCCCTGATCGGACGGTTTGAGCCTTTGCTGGTAGATGATTTTGATTTCTGTGGGCCCTTAACCCTCAAACTATGGTGGGAAAGATGAAGAAGAGAAGAATTCCGATGTTTCTGTACTTGCACTTGAGCAAATGGCAAATAAAGGATTTATCATTTAAATGTGCTGCATACTTATTGAATAGCTACAGTGACGATAGTAAAGCGACTAATTGTCATTGTTGATACACCACAGTGCACAACGGAATGTATCCTCTGCGTTTATTCCGTATGTGACATAGTGACATAACAGGGGGCAGCTAATTCAGAACCCGGGGAGCAGTACTTGGGGGCCGTATCTTGCTGGTTTGGGATTCGAACCAGCAACCTCATCTAGGTCCTACCAAGTCAGTTGCTCTGTATTCTGTCCCAACTGTGGATCATTGTCCAGTGTACAGCTTCTTCACTGGTGTGACAACATGAGCGTGAAAACGCTTATTTCTCCCCCAGAGTCTACCAGGGATCCTATGCAAAAACGTACTTACTGGTCCAGACATTACGGACCCTAAGTGACACATCTAATGCAGCGTTTGCAATATTTTCCCATAACTTAACCCCATCTGGGGTATATATACGTAAGTGTGCTAACGCTTCGCCTCCAGAAGCAGCCCAGTACCTGCAACACTTACAGGACATGACGCCTACCAAAACCTCAAGCACCGCCGGAGTAGACCATCCTCCAAACGCTGGAGGTTTGCCTCCCACATTTAACGGACACGTTGCGTTTCGATTTACCCTCCACGTTGCACATGTGGAAATTTTCGGTCTGCATAGCCGTGCAAGCGCCGCAATGTGGCAAATGGCGAACGATAAGCCCTGAAAGAGCAACCTTCGCCAGACAACCGCAAACAAGCACACTGCATGGAGACAAACCCTACATTCACACGGTCTGCACCCATAATCTCCTAATGCACCCGGACCACCGCGCCACTGACCGATTATGTCATAACCATAAGCCCTGGTTTTACCCATCCGTGCCAATGTACCGGTTAAGTCTTCAAATTCTTTGAAGTCACCATGTTGGGTCCAATAAAATATTATCTGCAGTGATTTGCTTATTACTGGTGTTTTCCCCCCATCTTCACACACCTAAACAAACACTGAATGGTAATCAGAATCTTAGCTACCCTTAAAAAAAACATCCGAAATATGATACGTGCCCTTAGGAAGATCATTTATTGGGGAAATTAAAAAAAAATACAGCGACCATCAACGGAAAAGATCTTCACACACATATAAGCCAAGCGAGAGACATAAAGGTTTGTCTGGACACAGTTGTGTATCTCTTTGGGATTTCAGGGCAGAAATAAAAGTCTCTTCCATTTTGCTTCGGATGTCAGTGGGATGGTGACCTTGGGCATCAAGACGGTCGGGCGCCGTGATCAGTCAGCCGAGAGAGGACACGTCCAGCTGGGCTTCATTCTCACGCAGTCCTCATCCCCAGAGCAGACTATAATCAGCAGAAAGACATCTTCATCATTTTTGTAATGTGAAATACAAGACAAATGTGTGTGACGCGGATATTAGGCGGTCATGTGCACATTCACGGTTCAGATGATCAGTCACATCACCAAAACCTTATTGGACACTCACAGCCGCCTAACGCGCAGTAAAGGACTGCAACAAATTTGAAAGGAAACTCTCAGTAAATAATCTGGCAAAACCTTGACCTGGAATGGGAGGCTAGGGACATAAATTTTGATGTGCTGAGAAAGTTGACAATCTTTCATCTGGATCAAGCACAAGACTTTTCTCACTTGCATTTACAAAGATTCCACGCAAAATACAGGAATGTCGTGAATTATTTTTTGTTCATGAAAGGAAACATACCCTCAAGATGATGCACAGTGTCCGGCCATGCGCTACGCATGCTGCGGGATGTCGCAACTCTCTACGCATGCATGTTGACCCCGGTGGCTATTACGCACATGCAATGGAACTGCGCACTTCCTGCATCACTACCACTGAAAAGGATCTAGTCTGCAGGACCGAGTGAATGATTCATAATGAAATAAGGTCCAGAGAGGCAAGAAACAGAGGCAACTTCTTAAAATGGATATTGATTCTGTCGGAACATCCAGACAGAAAAGCCTCAAACGGACCTTCGCTATGAGCTGCACTTCATGGATGTTAGCAAGAACATCGTAGAGAGTGAGAAAGAAAGAGCTGCACTTATGCCCTGGGATTGTAACAGAGGAAACTGGGACCCGGTAAGTGTCAAGTACCAGTTTATGAAAGTTATGAACGAAAGTCAAATTTTTATGTAGCGCTTTTCAAACACCCAAAGTGCTTTACAGAACCCCCCCCCCACACACACACACACACACACGTCACATGACACCTCTCAGACGCGACGCCTTTCCAGGCCGAGGGGGTAAGCAGACATGCTACCCCCCCCCCCCCCCCCACAAACAAAAGGAGCGTGGACACAGTACCTGAGGACGGTAGGCTCCGGCATCCCCGGGTCAGAGCCACGTTTGAACCCTGCAGAGACACAAAAAAAAGAAAGGAAGAATAAGAAACGGCAATGTTACTCTCACCACAGATGAAAGATGAAAAACATTTTCCTGCTTGTATGATAGGGGCAAAATAAACTGCAAAAAAGAGAGGGGGGGGGGGGTACTGTTTGTAAGACTGATCAACCTCACTAGTATGCTGGCCGCCAGCTGCTGTAAGAGATGCTTTCATTCAAAAGTTTGACGTATTGACATATTTATACAACTGGGAGTGTTTCTCAACCCAGTCCTCAGGGCACCCCCAGATAGCAGAATGGGGGGGGGGACACTGCCTTAGAGGACCATTAATAAAAGAGGACCATGGAAAAAAAACACCCTGTCACACCCGGGCCACAAACCAGCAGCCTTCCGGTTACGGGGCCATCTCTCGAACCCGGGACAGAAACCTTTTTCAAAACTTGAACAAACTCAATAGTGCAGCCCAACATGTGGAGACTGAGATGCTACGATGCTGAGCGGCAAAGAATAACACAGAGAGTATTACTGCTCAACTCGTCATCAGCAGCCAGAGTTCACAGTGTTATAACCAGATACAGATTCAACCTGTCACACCGCTACTCCTTACAGCCACTTCACAAGAAGACTTCCTGACTCCTACAGAAGATCAGTGATCACCAATGTGATCTCCTAATGTTTCCATTGCCTATCAGATGGTGCCAGCTCACAGGAAATTGCTCATGAGGATGCATTTACGAATAACCACCTGACTAACTGGAAAATAACCTAAAAGCACGTAAGCATCATTATGTTTCTGGTGTTGGGCTAAAATTTTCCGAACACAAGTCTTATCAGCATCAATTTTCTGCTTTAACCCAGAATGACCTATTGTTACGTATTTTACACATACTTTTATCCCAAGTCTGCAGAAAGAGTGTTAATTGGATCAGTTTCAGTAATAAAACTTTTGCATTGTGCAGAGAATTTCTGTTTAAAGTGATACAGACGTATCAGAAGTGGCACAGAAACAAACAGCCACTGTCTCTGCCGTATTTAGTGCTAATGATTGTACTTCATACTACTGCACATAGCATTCTGATGGTATTTTGAAAAGCGATGCTATTTCAGCATTTTGAGCTGCTGTACGCATGAGTCGACCGCGACAGTCTGCATCCACGGACAAATGTAGTATGGGCACAAGAATCCATGCAGTTGCGTCAGACATATAAAGGCACACGGAAAAGAAAAGTATGAATGGCTTCACATGCCAATGTTAACATTACTAGGTGATGATGTCATTATGTGCAATTCACACAGCAAAGTGCAAAGATGCATCAAACTGATGACAAAATTCATAGACAACTATTTTAATTCGTTCCTGCATCCCTAATCTGAAGCAATATACAGCTGGGAATACAGGATCAGCGAGTCCCTGGACCAACTGGGGGGGCCTTGCTCAAGGGCCTAACAGTGACATCACTCTGCCGATCCAGGGATTCCAATCATGGCCACAGCGTGTGAACCTGCTGAGCTACTCACCACAGCCAAGCTTCAAGAGCTTGTGCCGAATCTTCAAAGATAAAACAAAACAAATCTTTTCATCACTTAATAAACTAGGACTGTTGTCAATTAATGACCATATCCTGTCCTTTATAAATTCAAATCTGATACACTCAGAAAAACTAACCAGAGCACTATGGCCTTCAACAGAAGACATTGAGGGGTCACCAAAAGCAGGCACTATTTGTCAACATACACTGCTGCTGCAAAACGTAAAATAATTTTATATATAAAAAAAAAAAACTAATCCTGAAACTTTCCCCCAAAAGTCTTTGGTGGGTATCTATCACACAAGAAATGCCAGCATACAAATATTGAGAACTCTGAAAGAGAAGTGACGTCAGAAAGTGACAAAGTGAGAAAAAGCTAGAGCCTTCAGCGCGGAAGCCTTTGGGGTTGGGGGATTCTTAGGAACAGCCAAAATCTTCAACATGATGGGCCATCTCCGCAATGCGACACCATGACATCAGCAGTGACCAGGAAGTGGGAAAAAATAGCGTATGGAAGGATTTCATCACACAGTAAATACCCAGAACTTGATCTCCAGCCTGCTTACCCCCCGTGATCTGGTACACCCTTCGCAGGAGTGTGTCGACTGTTTCCGGCAGAATTGTCACCAGATGACTGGCAACCTCCCTTTCAGGCAATCATTAAATGCCATTTTGAACACGAAATGCCAAATGAACACGAAACCCAACAGAAGTGAGGATGATGTTTTATAGAGAAATGTGCTATATATTAAATTTCTCTTTAGTGGCATCAGTGTCTGCTGCTGGAGGATCTGCCACTTAAGCCAATTTATAATAGCTGAACACAGGCACATAATTTAATTCTTTTCATTTTGATACCATTTTTTAAATCTAATGGAGTTCAGGCCCAGTTGATCATATCAGCACAGCACTGAAAGGAAACTCAGGACATAGATAGTACAATTTTCTGCTAATGTTCAACTACATAAAGCACGCAAACACAGCCATGAATGAAAACTTCCTCCCATATCTATTTTAGGTTGCACTGAGGTAATACCAATACCGACCATGACCAGACATGCACACAGTTCCTCAATGATTCAGGAGTTGGTTTCGTTTTTTAATTTAGCTTATGATTAGATAAGTAACCGACTGCTTGCAGGATTTACCTAGGAAAGATTTCGATTAAGTACAGATAAAATGATAAAAAGCAATAACCAGACCTCCTTTACCGCATAATGAGGATGATGCTGCGAATTTATAAACCAGTGAAAAAATGCGATCGTTTACTTGTTAGCAATAGTGAGGACACAGACGCGATAAGAGGCCGCAGAGGGCGCCACCTGCTGGTGAGAACGCATATAGTTTAGAACATATACCACGGCGACACAGTGCCCCCTACTGACAGGACGAGACATTTAGAACGTTTTCAATGAATATCCCTCTACGTACAGCTACATTTCTCTAACACGGATACAGGCACATGTAAATAATCACATTTTATGTTTTTTCAATCCGGATGATGATAAATTTAATATATAGTTGCTAGCACATGCTAAAACGGTTACATATGACAAAAAGCTTCGTAAGAAATATAATTATGACATTATTGCATGCTAACTGTAGAGCAGCAACTACCAGCTTACTGGTCATATGATATTTAAACAAAAATTACAAACAAGGAAATTAACGACACCCAGATAACAAAAGGCTAGTTCAAATCGCAAATGGCCAGCTAATAATAATAATAATAATAATAATAATACTTGTTATTCTGCCACACGGAATATCTGAATATAACAAGCTTACTTACAACCGATAAGCACTCAAAAATAAACACATTGGTATATATACAGACCTAAGTAAAGTACCGTTGGGATAAATCCCCACCGGATTATGAACTGTCCGCATTGGAAGACCTGCTGCAACCGCTGTTTTGTTTCTTTGCTTAGTTTAGCCATAGTCTTGCTAGAATGTATTGGATCTTTTTCGACGCTGCGCACAAGGACAGGAAAAAAAAAGTCGCAGGTTGATGACGTGACACGGGAGCTCGACTTTCTAAAAGGTGCGCCATCTGATGGGAGCAGTACGAAGCACATATAATTGTGAAATCATTTTTTACTATGTAGTCGTAATCGGTATATTATGTGAATAATATAATAATACTCCACAGCTAACTTTACTTGGTCATTAATGACTTTTAATTATCTATTAATAATTTAAATTCTGGGATACAAAGAAGTTTACCTTCTTGTGTGCACTCAGAACTGCTTTGTTTCTTTGTTAAAAGTAAATATTTATTCCACGTTCCTGGGTTTTTGAGAAAAAAAAAAGTTTTAAAAATACAATTGAATCAGTCTTCATAGTCGTAATAATAGTATAGTGGCTTGTATAGTGAACAGGGTTGTGGCTGTTTTAGGCTCCCTGACAAAATGTCATCTTGGGGGGGGGGNTTTTAGGCTCCCTGACAAAATGTCATCTTGGGGGGGGGTGGTGGAGGGGTGGGATGTGGGATGTGGGTGAATGACTGATGGTCACATTAGTAGCAGTCATAACACACGCCTACACAGGAATACGTCATTAAATGTTTTATGTACAGTAGTGTTTTATTTAAGAACAATGTGTATTGTCTGTTGGATCCATGTAGCACAATGCTAACTTAAAGTAATCAATAACAAAATGACGTTACCCTCCAGGAAACTTAGCAAAAGTTACGCAATTGCATCACCTGAGTTACTGCCTGTTAGCAGTTATGATTTTTCTAATATTGGTATCTACCTGCTGTACAGAATGTAAGAGAGGTAGTTATTTCATCATTTTCCTTAAAGTCTACCTCTATGCAGGAATACATGCGGGCATGGATATTTTTCTACTTCCAGAATATGGGAATTCTGGGTAGTATGCCCCTCTCCCAAGGCTGAACTGGGATTAAAAATTGGCCCTGGACTTCGGGGTCCCCCACAGTAAACTTTGCTGGCCCACATACCCACGAGCCCACTGTGGAAAATGCTGGTATGGCAGACCGTGTCCCCAGCCCTGCCCTCTTCATTACACTAGTAGCGAAGTGCAACTAGATTAAACTCAGCCATTGGGCAGATTGGGATTCATCCGTCTTAGAGTGTTACAGAGAGCCTGGAATCTTCCCCAGGAAACAGGACGAGGGGCAGAGGAGATGAGGACACGCGGGACATGAGACCAGTCCTTCATACGCTACAGGCAATGTAGAGAGAGTTTTTGGACTATCGGAAGACATTGGGGTTACTCACAGGAAACTTTCTCATGCACAGGCATATCGTGCAAACGTTTTTGATGCCTTTGGCAGGCTGTGCTGCCCGCACATCTCATTCTTTCTGTTTATTAAGCATATTTTTAGTCAACAAAAAAATAAAAGGACCATATCGCTCATGTTCTCTTCACACCTCACCTACCCGATCTTACAGCAGCCTGGCACAACCCAGGCTTCAGTCCCCATAAATTTCCTCTGTGAAACCCAAAAAGCGAAATCATTTTCTTTGATGCCTGGGAGAACGTTTCTGCCGATTCATGGGTGTGGTTTCCAAAGCGTTGATTAGTATAATAACTTTCTGAAAAGCTGATGTTGCAGTTTACTACTGACAGGACTTTACAACTTCACTGAGTCTGTGAAAGTAAGGGCAGGGTAACCCCCCCACGGAATCAAGCCTCTTCAATAAACCATTTACAAGAAATAATACCTGCACTGCATTTCACTGCAAGGCGGAATTCTCTCGCATACAGCTAATTTCCTGCCATCTTCTGTCCTTAACTAATCACACTAAAGAGTGAAACTGGGGGGGGGGGGAGCTGACACCTGATAGTGCCTAAGTACTGTGGACCATGTCAGCTGAAATTCTTTAGGAATAAGGAAAAATGACTCAAACTATGGGTTTAACAGCCAACTTTCCACATGAGCGTGAGTCATGGGGTTTTCTGGAAAAGCCAAAACCTAGGCTTGTATTACAGGTCTGAGCATTCAGTTGAACAGAAAATAAAAATGGCTTTAAATCTCATTTTCTGTGTTTTACAATCCAATAATAAGGCGATACTGAATTTATGAGATAACCGTAACTCATAGTTTGTTATTGCCGATTTTTCTTTGTGTGTGTCGGGGGGGGATTTTTGTGACTTTACTGTGGGCATAGAACACTTGGCATCCTTGAGAATTTTTTCCCTAGTATTACAAACAAGACCACTGTAGTTAGTATTAGATGTGCTTATCCATCAGCATGTGATGTGACCTGCTTAAGTGAAGACAGGGAAATTTATTTAGCTTATAGCAAATTACCCGGAGCCTCCAGTGATGGAATGTAGCACTTGTTGGTGAGGATTGAATCCATCCCTGACAAGGCAGGCAGGGATAGATTGGGTGTCAGGAACAAACCTTTTTCTCATCAAAAACCAGTGCACATGTTCAGTGCCCTCAGGTGGCACTAAAAACAAAACATTTTCTCTGAGTACGGCTATGACCAAATGAAGGTATAGTTCTGATGCTGTAGATGAGATTATGGTAACCATGGCGACAGCCTGAGCACAGTAACCATGGTAATGTGGATCTAATGTAATGGCCTTCAGTGATTCAACAAGAATTTTGGCTTGTAACAGGTTGTTCGCTCCTGGAGCCCACAGAAACTGGGGGTTAACAGTCTGGTGGATTCAACCACGAGGGAGCTGGTCTAACCATTTACAGCAGTGGCTCTCAACCTTCTCTTCGGGGACCCCAGATAGGCCACAGTTTTGTTCCCTGCCAGCTCCCAGTAGAGAGGAAAATGTTTATGGCACAGCAGGGAGCTGGAAGGGAGCAAAAACATGGATTGTCTGGGAGTCCCCAAGTACTGGGTTGAGACACACTGGTTTACCATAATGTGACTATAGTCAAACAGGCTAGTATAATTCACTATTCTCATTTTACCAGGGTGTAATATTCATTCTGGTTATTAAGCTTCCATATTTTCAGCAACAGTTGCACCGTTTTAAAAACATTGCTGATGTGCCTCATTGAGGGACAAGTCACGACAAGCGGAGAATAATCTGCCGCTGTGACCTTTTGAGACACAAGCGTCCAGCCGCGTCATGGGATGTGTGAATTATTGAGAGGAATTTCTGAATAAGTAATGATAAGTAACCTGACTCAAAAGAGAAAGGGAATATCCAGTCTGCCAGACAGCCCTCGCTCACTCCACCCCTGTGTTCATCATGTGACCATCATGTGACTATCATGTGACAACGGCTAATAGGAAACTTGGTGAAATTATTGGGAAGGAACTCAAGACGTTCATTCGCGACTGCAAATCTAACAGAAAGGTAACACTTTAACAGAGGAGGACGACAGCAGCTTTCCTGTGAGTCTAGAGTCAAGTGCTTCATGTTTGGTGTAATGGATGTTGAACCTGCGTTGAGCCTTTGTCACCATGTCTCCCAACAAATGACCACACAAACTGTGAAACAAACACTTTATTTTCAGAAAGCTAAAGCAAATCAGTTATTTTCAGACAGAAGGCAAAAAACCTCTGAATAATAATCTGTACATTTCACAAGGGAACCTTTTTTTTGTTTTCTTCCGATGCCCTGTAAACAAAAACCAGACACTGATTGTTATTGTTCCACATCATTTAAAAAATTACATCTCTATGAACTGTATTCACTGTCGACTTTTACTAGGTTTTACCAAAACAGTCAAAATGTAAATTCTTCCATAAACAGATAAGGTACCACAGTGATGTTTTGTTTTGTAATAGAAAAGATGAGTAAACAAGTACAATGACTTCTAAAACCTTGAATGAAGATGAAGTGGAGATGAACTGCGACAATTTTAAAACATGGGCTTAAAAACCAAAAACGGAAAGAGGCCTTTGGCAGTGGCACAAACGCAGGCTGGGAGGCGGGGGCCGGGAGGAGGGGGCCGGGATGAGGGGGCCGGGAGGTGCGCCTTGTGCTTTTGGGGAATGGGGTGGCCAACCCACTGGACTGTTGAAAGGGAACGTCACTCATGTGCAGCGTCCAGAATTTTTATATTTATTAATTTTTTTTTAAAAAAAGAATCCCAACTACATATTCACACTTTTTACACCCATCTCCTACTGAACACACCCAAAATGTAAAACACTGGACTGGAACATTGACACACATATTGCTTCTTACAGTATCTATAAACACGCTGCTTGGTATCAAAGTCACCACAGTCACAGGCCATTTCCCATCCTGAAGTTACTTTGTAATTCAAAAAGCATTAAAAGCAAACCGCCACAGTATGAGGCCCAGTGCATGTTGGGAAGTGCAGAGGGGGGTGCAGAATGGACGGCGGGGGAGGGGGCAGCTTCTCCCGGTCTGCACGGGAGGCTGTGTTGTGCCGTTTCGTTTTTAAACATAACACTTTTCTGAAAAGAACATCCCTTTTCACAACATTTGTTCAAAACAAAAAAAAAAAAAATCAAAAATAATCCAGCACTGACACACATGAACCAGGCGGGCAGGACAACATCATAAACTAAAACAGAGAAGCTCAACTGCACTTCACACGACGGACTTTTGTACCGTTCAGGTTACGCGAAACGTCTGAGTCGGCGTGACGGATCTGAGCGATCCGCAGTGGAGCGGACTGGAACGCCGAAGCCGGTTCTAAGAACGCTTTACCCGAAGACACGTTAGAACAGCTTTAGCGATGGTGTCCCATAGAAAGCAGAGCTGATGTCTTTCTAAGGTGCAGAGTATTAATCCACAGTCCTGAGGGTCAGAGATCTGGTCCCCCGTCCAGCCCGGGGTCGTAGTGGGTCGTCATTCCGAGAGGGAACCGCATTATGGTAACCATAGAAACGAGCGGCCGGGGGGTAGGACCCTCCCGTGGGGGTGGTCAGGACTGTAGCTGGGGGAAACTGGCCAGAATGTAGTTCTGTTATTGCTGGGAGACGTGGGGGGTGTTCAGAGTGAAACAGGAGGCACCAGAGAAGTCCTTCAGTGGTATTTCTGCCTAAAAGCTGTGGGGGGCGGAGGGTGGGTAAGGGTGCTTGTGGGGGGCAAGGGGGGTGGCGACAACTCCAAAAGGTCACAGGTCGGTGGAGAAGTGCAGGCTGATGCTGGGAGAACGCTGTTTGTGGGGGGAGGGGCCCAGAGGCTCCGCCCTCTCCACCACACACGCCAGCCGCTCCTCCTGCAGGCTGCATGCTGAGTAACGGTTGGCCTCGGGGGCGGAGGGGCTGCAGCCCTGGGGGTGGGCCGCATTGCCCGCAGTGAGCGCATTGCTGACATGTTCGAAGGACCGGGAGAAGACGGCACTGGCGGTCTGGGACAGGCTGAGCGTGCCGGACTTGGGCATTGACTGGCTGGAGGTGAGCGTCAGCCGTTTGAGGGACAGCAGCTCCAGGGTCTCGCTCATCGCTCTGCCCCCCGGCTGCTTGCGGCTCAGCTGGTCTCGGCAGCTCTCCGGCACCCCCTCCTTGTCTCTACTGGCCTTGCTGCAGCTGCCCAAACGTCGCTGGCCCTTCCCCGTCGGCCTTCCGCCACTGGGGGTGGCGTTGCTGCTAACCACGATTGCCGGGGGGCTCCCACCCTGTGTGCTCCGGGAGCAGAACCCCTCGTCCACCTCGGAGATTTCCATCAGCTCATCCGGGGAGCCCAGGTCCACCGCGTCTGTTGGCAGAAGGACAAGCCGCTCGTGACTCCTTTCGGGTTAAACGAGGGGCGACCAAACGGTAACAAAAAAAGATTAACTGAACTCTACGGCGGCCCAAACAGACCCACAGCAAGTGCACACCAGAGCTTAATTGAAATGTACCCACAGCACACAGGGCCGAGCCCAGGAAGGGAAGCAGGGATTAAGGTGAGAAGCCAGACCAGCAGGTAGCGGGATTACCACGATCATCACATCATTAAGGGGTGACAGACGAGAGAGAGAGAAGACACCGAAGACTGAAGGCCGGCCGATTCTCACACCGTGACTCCAAATCCCAGTAAGAGTTCCCGTGTGGGCGCTGTAAGTCACGGTGATGTCGTCGGCCTTGTCAGGGCAGCGTGAAAGGCACCTCGTCCTCCCACTTACCCAGGAATCAGCCCCACGATCAGACGGAAGGTTGGCGGCAACCAGGAAGTTAGGAGGCGCGGACTGAGGGTTCCCCCTAAGCCAATCAATGTGCTAGAACTCATGTGATCCCCCAAGTTTAATGAGGAATGATTTGCCAAAAAGGGGGAGGGAGGAGCAGTCCGTGGTACCTCCCCCTCACGGTTACGCATCCTGGAGTTGCAGGTAATGCCCTGTGGTTCAGCACCACGCCACCTAGTGGAGTTTAAGGGACATGGTGCCCTATCTATGGACACACAGCATACACTGCTGCCTAAACAATACACACTCTTGCCTAGCAATCGTTAGGCAATTCAACTCAAGGTAAGTTTTTGGTTGACCTTTCTCAGGCGGATGTGATCTTGAACTCCGTCTAAGTTGAGGTGCAGAACTGTACAATCCATTCCCATGCTCTGTGGTCACTCCTATATTCCAGACATACATTTTTTTTTTCTTCTCCAGGAGGCGTCTGAGTCGCGTTTGGTCAGCAGGTCAGTCATGTGATCAGGTGAGTGGGTGGGGTTAGTCAGCATGCCATGCAGCAGTCACCTGGTCTCCACCACTCCCACACCACCAGCAAACCACAGCCCCGACCCAATCCCACCATACCTCGGCAGCGTCACCTAGTGCTGGACCCGCCCAGAGGAGGACACGCCCTCCTCCACCATCCTTCTGACAGACTTCTGCCTCCTGACCTCTGCTCTAGAATCGGGCCCCGCCTCCGTGCCCCCCAGGGCCTCCCCATTGGCCAGCCGCTCATTGTTCACCCCTGTCACGCTAATCTCAGGGATGGGCCCAGAGAACACCGAATCTGGGGAGTCAATACTGTTCTCGAGAGACTCTAGGGGTGGAAGACACACACGCACACACACACACACACACACACACACACACACACACACACACGCACACACACATAGATATATGTGATGGCTGAAAATGAACAAAATTAACAAACAGCACAGCAATGCAGAACACAATGTTGTTTTTGTAAGACATTGTTGGCAAGGGGGTCAACAAATGATGACAAAAAGGCATGTTACAGATTCTAATTAACAGTCAGCGCCCAGTTTGAACCTGTTCGGGCCGCCGCTGGATCCAAGACGGTGTTCATATTGACTGGCCCTAAGCTGGTGATGCATGGATGACCGGCGGATACGGATCAGTGCTGAGGACTGTGGCCAGGCCCACAGGGTCCATAAAGGGAGCTGAAAGAGTCCCAGCCTTGGGCTGGATGATTTGATGCCAGAAAATAAAATCTACATATTTAACAGAAAAGGTGTGAAACTATGAGTCACTAACTGATGCTTCTCTATCGCTCTGGCTGCAAAAAGATCATCACATCCCCTTATTGCCATAGCGACAGTGGGAGATCGAAGCCTCGTAATGATTTATTCTGCACATAAACAATATGTGCCAGTGGGACCCTAAGGACACCCAGTCACCTGCTCCTGCCCTGTTACTCATCCCTGCTCTCAGCTGTGTACTGACTTACCCCCCAAATCAGATTTTTATGCTCAAATTATTTCCTGCTGATGTTCGACGATACTGTGCTTTAAGTATTACTCTGGGTACATACTTTTGGTTAAACTGAGTGTGTCTGTGTGTGTGGTGAAGAGGAACCCCACCTCCAAAAATGACAGGAAATCTTGATAAAATAAAGTATCCGGAACATTCTGACCAGACGGCTCACGGGGGTACGAGACGGCCCTCATCCCCTGCACGCCTCTCACCGTGTCTCTTCCACCGATGTCCGCGGATGGACAGGCTGGTGACGGCATTCCTGGATATCCTGGAGGAAGTGGGAGTGATTTCGACATGGATCCGGCGGGATCCTTCCTTGTGCGGTTTCAGGGCTCCCCCGTGCTGGGAAGACTTGATTGCGTTACACACCTGAACACAAGCGGTGGTTAACACATGGGTACAAAGGAGTCCACAGACACTCCTGAACACTCAGCACATATTCAAACACACTAATAATCAGAGTCAACGATTTAAGGCAATTGGACAGCCGATGGACCAATCGGGAAGATGTTTATAATAAACAGACAGATCACAGTAATGGGGCCGGGGTCTGTGAGCTGTACCCACCAGCAGGGCCTCTGGAAACAGCTCCAGCTGGGCCCTGTACATCACATCATCCAGCGCCTTGAAGCCCAGCTCCGGCTCTCCATTACACCTGCGGTGTGCATGGGGAGGAAGTGGCATCACAACACTAATGAACGGTGGAACAAAGGTACCAGCAGTAAAATAGTCTAAACGTGCTTCAACAAAACCGGAAAAACTACCCTTTATACCACCTTCATAATGACAAAAGATTTCACCAATAAGGATAAAAAGAAGCAATAAATAAATGTACTTTTGGAACTACTGCTCACAAGGCATAGTGCACGTCAGTGTGTAAGGGGGCTGCTCACAAGGCGTAGTGGACGTCAGTGTGTAAGGGGACTGCTCACAAGGCGTAGTGGACGTCAGTGTGTAAGGGGGCTACTCACAAGGCGTAGTGGATGTCAGTGTGTAAGGGGGCTACTCACAAGGCGTAGTGGATGTCCGTTATTAGCTGGACCAGGAACTCGGAGGACACCAACATCCGGGTGCTGATGCCCTTGTAACGCCTCATCTGTTGCCGGGGGTAACCGCAGATGCAGACCCTGACAGAGAATGGAAACCATGGGAATCTCCATCTGGCCCACAGTCCAACGGAACGACATTCGGGCCCAAAGAAGCACGTGGGGAATTTTTACACATATGAACGAGTGAGCGAGCAAGCGAACATCCATCTGCCATGGTCAACAGTCACACGAGAAAAATCACACACAGCGACTGTGGCTGCAAACCTGGAGCACTTCCCGGGTCTGTAAAAGGATCAGAAACGGGGGGGTTTATACTCAGGTTTACCGTAATGTTTTTCAGCAGCCGTACTGAGCGGCGAGAGGTAATCAAACATTACAGGGGCTGCCTGTAAAAATGCCTTGAAAAAAGGACAGGAGGGGCCGTGTGTTTGCATATGCTTTCATTCCTAAGAAATGCTCTGACTGCAGCTGATGTAAAGTAAGCTTTCTGAGCAGATCGGCTGACTGTGATGAAATAGGGAGGACATATTTACATAAAGTCACAGGAGCGCAGTGAAAACCCAGAGGAAAAGCAGCAGTAAGGACAGCAGAGAGTTTGCCTTGAGGCCCCAGACAGAGGTCAGGTTGTACAACCTCCTGAGGTCAAACAGATTTTCTGTTCTTCTGGTAATGGTAAAGGCAAGGGGGGGGGGGACGGGTCCTAAGCTCTATGGGTGGTCTGTCTGACCTGATGTGTGTTGGCGGTCGGCAAAATTGCTACAGCTGTGAGATTTCAGGGGAAGGGGGCCTAGGCTTACCTAGAGCCCAGCTGACAGAGGGTCTGCAGTGAGGAGTTGGACATGTGACTCAAGGCTGCGTTGTAGCACAGCAGTAGGAAGCTGAGGACATCAAACCTGTGGGCAGGACCAGAGAAGCAGTTAGCACACCGCTAACACCAGCATTAGCTATGGGGGTTAAACTGCTAGGAGAAGTTAGCACAACGCTGAGACCAGTTTTACATTTGAGCGACAGGTTGCTAAATGCTAATTCTCAGGTCGGGGGCTGACAGAACCAACTGAGGGCAAGTAGCAACAGCATTAATGAAGTGCACACACTATTCACACAATCTTTTAAACATTTCAATTGTCAAGGCTCACCTGTTCTGTGCTGTAAACGTCTCCCTCTGGAGGTGTGGCCCGCTGTACACAACCCTGCTGAGCCCATGATTGGCTAGAGCCCCTTCAGTCAGGGCCAGTGAGCCAATCGTTGAGGGCTAAATGAAAACAGATTTCCTTTCAGGGAACTGCCTCTCAGTTATTTAAATCAGCACACGGGAATTAATCCCTTCTTCACAACATGGTTCATTTGCACTGAAACAGTTGAGTCTCCAAACAGAAGAGAAGCTGAGCCCTGTTCACTGACATCAGGGGGGTGCTCCTCGATGCACGATTAACACCTCGATGTCCTAAACCAGCCCAACAGCTGGACTCAGAGAGCTTACCTCATGGTACACAGACGGCTTGGACAGTGACGGGACTGTGAAGGCCAGCACTTTGCTCTGCCCGTCTTTGTCAACTATTTCCTGAGAGAGAGGAAGGACAGAAAGGGAAATGAGTCCGACAAACAGTTTGCTGGGTTAAGCAGAAAGTTTCGAGGGCTGCATCCTGTCCAGGAGGCCCCGTGATTCCTGGATGGGCTCCCGGCTCACAGAGACGATCCGCTGGATAAGCAGAAGACTGATGCATTCTGATGGACGCAAAAATCTTACACAAACACCTACGAGCAAAGATTCAGAATATATATATATATATATATATATATTTTTTTTTTCCCCTCCAGAATATTTTTGGGCATTTATAAAAGAGGCGGGGGGGGGGGGGGGGGGGGGGGGGGGGGGGGGGGGGGGGGGGGGGGCTGACGTGGTTTATATTTTTTGTAGGGGAAAAAAAATCCATCTACCATCTTGCTTTTGACAACTCAAGAATGTCACTTTAAAAACATTTTATTTTAATCTTAAATTGATTTTACTTTACAGCATACAACACATACACAAAGCAGTGTACAGAGAATACAGGCTCAGACAGTCTCTGCAGTGATGGTGGGTTGAGGGTCTCGAGTTCAATGGTAAAACCATTCTGCTGACCCTGGGATTTGAACCAATGACTTTCAGATTACAGATAGAGTCCCAGCCCACCGAGCCACACGCCACCCCCCAACTAAATGGAAATTTGCATTTGTCTGAACGATTAGAATGGCGGCTTTCATTCACGGCGCAGTGCTGACAGTGATGCTGCTGACATCAGCCGCGGGGAAAATAGCATCTGGCACGTCAGGGTGTCATCGATGTTCTGGGTCACATGGACTCAGGATCTCAGACCAGACACAAACGCGAGCCGGCGGGCAGAGGCTCCACCAATCACAGCCTGGCATTCCCCGGTTGGTCTGTAAGCTGGAAGTAACCGACTGTGCAGAACCGACTGTGAACCCAATCGGCCCAGACACGAGTTACTGAAGCGAGCAGCTGGATGCTGGTTGACTTAGGGGCTCACGTCTCAGGTCAGAACAACTTCTCTTTATTTATCCAGCCTTTTGAACTGAAATTTGTAGAAGTCTGTATTATTGGGTCCAATTCATGACAGCTGATTCAATACACACAGCACAGGTACAGAGGCTGACATTTCAAACCCCCACCCCTTACACAGCAATCCTACAGTATACAAATAAAATGTGACTTCCCACAAGCAAATCGAACTCCCATCCGGGAAGTCTTCTGTACAAAGACTGATGTCAATTGGCCACATCAACCAGCCTCCTTTGCAGCCCTGTTCCAACCTGCACTCACCAGGTTGTAGATGCCCAGCAGAAGCGCCTCGATGCAGCCGCTGCGGTGAGGGTCCCGGCCCGCCCGCACTGACAGGTAGCTCCATATGAGCTCGGGCAGGAACTGCAGGGTGAAGCGCATGAGCCGCGGCTCCCCGCTGCGGTAGAACTCAAAGAGCTGGTGGCAGACCGGCTCCAGGAGCTGGAGGGGGCGGTGCCAGATCAATGGGGAGGGGCCAAAGAGCAGTGGGAGGCGGTCATTAGCAACAATAGTTGTTTTGCTGTGTTCATGAATACTATCCAGTTACATGCATTCATGTTCTAAATGCAAACCATAAAGCGTGCTGAAGTCTGAGCAGTACCCATACAAACAAACCATTTTACACATACTGTAAATATTATAATTTTTTTTTCTAATTTTTTTTTTATAGTACATATATATTTTTTTTAAACAGTTAACAGACAGTGAGCACTGTCCAGCACGTACGTCGCTGTCATTCTCCCGGATGACCCTGTAGATGGCCGGGATCAGAGCCGCCTTCACCTTCAGTGAGACGGCATAGTTGGAGACGCCGCTTTCCGGAAGGGTCTGAAATGCAAAGAGCAGAGATGTGGCCTTCACAGGAGCAGTCACCTGACAGAAGGCAGATTGGTGGATTCAGACCTGCATTTTCTAGGTTAACGATCGTTGAATTGAAAGGTGGTGGTGGGGAGGGGTGGGGGGGGTTGAGGAGGGGTCAATGCTCAGCTTGTGTGCATAGAGAGGCGGGGATTTGACCCCAGCCCCTGTAGGGTACAGGGCCCACGACCGTAACTACTATGCCATCTAGTGTTCCCTATCTTACCATTTTTGAAACCGACATGAGAAAAAAACTCCTCCGCTCTGCAAACCCCAAAGCGTTTTCGCTGCCAGAGAACAGCGACAAATCGAAACCCCACCCACTTTCTCACCAATAGCCCCCGGCGGAGGGAGGGAGGGGGCCTGGGCTTACCTTGAACTCAGATAACCACTCTTCCACCACTCCTCTTTCCATCGCCAGCATCTTCCCACATCTGCTGTCCGCTGATTTCAACCTGCGAGAAGGAGCGAGCGAGCGAGAGCGAGAGAGAGAGAGAGAGAGAGAGAGAGAGAGAGAGGTTCACATCGGGCCGTTATGTAAGAGTCCCGTGTGCACACGTTGTGGCTGGTAGACTGCTCCCTCAGGAGGCCGTAATCAGCCATCGCTCTCCACGGCGATACAAGAGCCGACGAATCAGCTTCACATTAGCCAGCCAATCAGACGGGCAAATAGTACCCCAACCAGTGATTCGGTGGTCAGTGGAGGGAGATGCCGTGATGTGAGCTGGTAAAAAGAGCCTGACGTCGATGTGGCTGCCCCCCCCCAGCCCAGCACCATGTTATTCATTCCCCTGACAGAGACCTCCCACGCGAGACTCACACATCCTCCTGCACATTTCAACAGCGCCACAGGTGAAGACATATCCTGCCCAGTAAGATACAAACAGTGCTGGCCTCCACACTGTACTGCTGCCCCCCCCCCCCCCCCAACCCCACACTGTACTGCTGCCCCCCCTACCCCCCCAACCCCACACTGCAATAAATATCCCCTCTCACAGCCCCAGCAAAAAGGACTACAGCAATTCTGTAAACAATGATAAAGTCAGGCACTATAAGTGCGAACGCGCTCATCAGCCAGCAGGAGGCGCCATAAGCCCACAGCCTTGGAAAACCAGATTACCACAGTAATCCATCCCGCTCCCCGCAAACCCAAAATGAAATGGTAACATGAGCTGAGTGCAGCCACCCCCGCATGAGGCAGCAGGAAGCCCCGGGTGGCCCCACACTGCCGAATCGTCACGGGTCTCCCCTCCCTTTGGGGGGGGGGGGGGTTAATCACGACTTGGAGGAGACAATGCCAGAACATCACTGTACCTATTATCCTAGTGAATGTAATACAGAAAAAAAAATCCTAATTAAGGGAACCCGGCATATCCCATAATGCACTGCCCTCAGAGATTTGTACAAATGAGGTTAGAAGTAAAAGAAATACAAATAAACTGGGTTTGGCCCAATTTAATGTGTAATAAAACAAAGACAAAGTTTCCCTGTTTCTGCTGTAATAATGAGCACCCAGTTTTAAATCCCTCTCATGCTACATGGCTGAAATCAGCAGCCTTGCTCAGTGCGCGATACAGACCTGAACATCTGCCCACCCCTCTGCTGGTTCCTATGGGACAGAAAGCCAAACAGCCCACAGTCACGGAGTCACTGCTGCTCTCCCTCAGAATCCCACAACCCCCCCCCCCCCCCCCCCCCCCCAGAGATAACAAATGGTAGCAAAAGACTGCCACTGAGGGTGCAACTCCCTTAAACCGAGGAGGGGACCCCCTCAGCCCTCCCTGGGCGGCAGCAGGACGGCACCAGTGAGCCCCCCCACAGCAGGCAAGAAAGGAGCTTACCTCTGCGAGTGGGGATCCCCCCTCAAACACGCTCCGCCGCATGCGGGAGCGGGAACCCCAACGCGTTCATCGCCAATAACGGCGATTCCTCCAAAAGATGCCAGCGACTTCACAAAAAAAAAATACAAATCTGCGTAACGATGCGTAGAACAAAGCGAACAGTGATCCAATAACATGGAGGCGCTACGCGGCAGCGGGTGCCGTGCGAGTGGCTTCTCACGTGTGTGCACGGGGGCGTCTGCTTGCGGGGCGGGGCGAGCCCCCCCCCCCCCCCCCCCCCCCCAAGAACCACAGGGACCATTCGCTGCGATGACTAACACGGCACAAACCCTTCCCGGGGGGGGGGGGGGGGGGGGGCCCCCCCCCCCCCCC